TTTACTGACTAGACCTGTCGTTCTTTGATATTTTCCCCATTGTACTTGATGTATCGATAATCCACAAAAGAGAACATTTTGCTTCCAGATGTTCCAATAAAAATATGTTGGTGGGCTTTCTTTTCAACTTGAATCTTATACAGGTACTTTTTTTAAATTTGATAACAACAATACCAAGAATGACAAATAATTGTCAAAATAAAAACATTAATATTCATTTTAAAAATTAACATGATTTAGAATAGTGTGAATGTGTGGGAAGGAAAAATATTCTTTTGTGACTTTTATTTCATAACATTCTTAATAAGATTCTTGTTGATCTTTGGTAATCGATCTGTGGTGTCACATTAGCCTTAACTATGTTTAGTTTATGAATTATATTAGCGAGCTTCGAATTCCCTGGAGGCAATACCCGCGTACATAGCGCGTGTTTTCATGGTCTACTTTTGAACCACAAAGTCCCCTATTGATAAACATAAACCAGGTTATTCAGCGCGACATAATAAGTCTCTAGTGGCACTATAACGAATTCAAGTGTTACTGTTTGTATATTATATATATATATATTACGTCAGTTATTTTTATTATGTAGTCATATCACACTTTGAAAAGAAACTTTGAATAATAATAGAAATGGATAAGTTATAAATAGAAATTAATTGACTTTATAATCATTGTTAGGATCAATATAAGCTGCATATCATTTTTTGGTTGTTACGGTTGTTTGATATTTTAATAAGATAAGTTCATTTTTAACATACAAACATTATAATTATAAAAGAATTTTTATTAATAAATTTTGATTAATAAAATATTTATGAGTAAAAGTATTTTTAAAGGATTATTTTCTCTTTAAAGAAGTGAATGAGGTGAAATGGTTTTATCATTTATAAAAAAAACTAATTCTCGTAACTAATTATACATTTAAAAAAAAAGAGCATATTTTGATGATTAGCAAAAATTATTCACAATGATTTAATTCATAAAAAAAGATCCCTAGCAAAAACCGTAAATAATAACCCACCATTTACAACCACTCAAGCTCTAAACAATTATCCTCTTGCTCCAAAAAACAACGAGCTCCAAAATTTCGACTCGGAGAAATAATAAATTCAAAGTTAACAGTCAACGATTACTAATTGATTTCGTGTGGCTTTTTAAGAAGTAAACTAATATGAATAAACCGTAAAGAGAGTGCGTCATTTGGATACTCTTGTATATGTTTAGTACTAATTAACGCAGACGGATGCTAATGGTATTAATGTATACGATCCTTTTGTGCTGGTAGCAGAGTGTGGTCTCCAATATGCATATGTAGTAAGAGAGGAAGAATGAAAGAGTTGCAGAGAAAAAGAGATTCTCACTGACTTCTCTATACTCCTCCTGCTGCTGTTTACTGACTTCCTCTTTCTCTTCTCCTTCTTTATCGTTTCTTATTCTTTCTCTTGTTCTTCAAAGCTTGTCTTCTCATCTTGCCAGTGAATTTGGCCCTGTGGGCATTCACGATCTCATCGCTATTAGCTTGTCCAACCGGTCTTATTCGCATTGTCAGTCAATTCGTATGTGTATACACTCAATCTTCCCCATCCTCACCCTCTCATTCTTATATCCAATAAATAATATCGCAGCTGTTTATCTTCTCATCTTTTTCAAAACTCTGTGATTTACATTGTCATTATCAGCTTGGGAAATATCAAAAATAATCATAAATATGAGTGAAAATAAAATGAGTGTTTGAACATGTTGATTAAGTATTCTCGAGTTAATTTGAGCCGACGACTAATGGTTGCTTATCAACGTTCGTGTCATTCTCTACGACCAATGGCACGTTTATGCACACATGTAGTCGACGTCGATTTGTTTCGTGCGCGCAATTCCGTTAACCAAGCATGTCGGTCAGAGAGTTCAGATTATTATACTGTCATGAGACGCACGACTATTAACGTGTCTAGAGTGTACGTGCCTCAGTCATCTCTCTAGCTTTCCGGTGTATGACTCAATCGTCTACATATTCCCTCATTAATAAACCTATAATTTAGATTTATAAATACCTTTGCCTTCGACCTCATGCTAAACAAAATCGTTAAAACAAACTTTAGTTTTATGAGCAAAATTATGACTTCATTCATTTTTTTTTTTTCTAAAAAAATTTTTTTTCTATGTTTTTAGACTCTTACTTATTTTTCTTTCTATTCAAATTATTTTTTTTCAGACTTAAAAAAAGAAATAGCTTTATTTGAAGATTTTAAAAATCTCAAGTAACACCTCATTATTGCTAAAATAATTTAATTAACAGGAAAGATTGTTATTTATTTGTTGATTAAATGTAATGATTTAAACTCTCTAAAATGCTCTTTTTTATTGACTTAATCCAAAGAATTATTAAATAAAGAAGCGTGGTTAAGCTTAAGTTTAATGTCGATAAAATAAAAGTATGATTTTATTGCATTCTTTAAAAAGAAGAAAAAATTCGCTTCAATTGAGTTAATAAATTTTTTATGACACAATTTGTAAAATAAATAGCTGTTATTTATTTATCAACAATTTAACTAAGAATAATAATTCAAGAAAAAAGAATATAAATTTAATTGAGATTAATAAAAATTTTATTCAGCATTTAATAGTGAGCAATATTATTTAATGAATGATTTAATTAATTTAATTATAATTTTTTATCAACCTATAACTTAGATTTTTAAATACCTGCTTCATCGACCTCATACAGAGCACAACCATTAGGACAAATTTTTATCCCAATCAAAATAAAAAATTATTACTTCATCAAAGTTCCTCCGCGAACAAGAAATAAATTTTTCAAGAGCAACAAAAATTATTTTTATAACAAAAATCATCATCTTTCTTTTCAAATTTTACGATGTTATCAAAAGTATTATATTTTTTAACTAAACACCTTGTTATAAAAATATCTTTAATATCCACCAATCCAAAGAAAGCTTGCAATAATTTCCACAAAAAAAGAATACGAAAAATATTATATTACCATAAAGAGATAACTTTATTATCTAAAATTACAGTTGTAAATCGAGATATTCATGTCTCTTGGTCACACTTAAATGCAGTAGTGACCAGTAGTTGAAGATAAATTTTTTTTAATCAAAATAAAAAGGTAAAATGAGATAAGAAATCGAGAAGAGTAGAATGAAATGTAGTCATTTTATGATGAGTTTCAGGTAAAACTATAAAAGCATTGTTTCAAGAGATTGTAATTGACATTATCACTCAATCACGCTATGTTCCGCTTGGAGCATCACTTAAATGTCTGCTAAACAACATCACCAACAACAATACAAACTATCTTTTTGCATTTTCTTAGAAATGACATTCACGAGTGTGAGAATAAGGTTAACGATCGCGTGCACAATAAAATTTAACACAAATGCAAAATCGTTAGATTACAGCATGAGTATAAAATTTTTTTTTTTCTTCAAAAAAAGATTATAACTATTTATTCTCACGAATTTATACGGATTAGCAACTTTATGAATAAAATGTATATACTTAGTTTGAAAAATTTTTTATATGAGAAATTTGCAAGTATTCACTGACTGATTATAAATAATAGCTACGTCATAAACCGGTTCGTAACTGGCGTATTACTAAGGCTAATTAATAACCCACGCGATGAGTCTTGGTGCTGCGGCGTTTTCTCAATAAAGCTTTGCAATTTATTGCCACTTGACGCACCCTTGAATTTCGATCTAAAGCCGATTAATTGATTGGTTTAACTTAATGCATTAAGCTTCAATAAAAAATTATTTTCAATGTAAATCCATTTAGTTTACGTAAATAAATCATGCAAGGTGGATTCATACCTTTCTGCAGGCATTTTAGAATTTACTTTAATTTTTTTCAAAACTTGATTACTCATTGAAAATCATAAAAATATCACTGTGAATATTATCTAATAATTATTTCTAATATCAAAATAATAATAATAAGCCTTTTAATCAAAACATTAATTTTGAAAGATATTTATAATTTTTTCCATCAATGATTATTAAATATTGTACTGTAAAAATATTAAATCCTATACGTACTCATTATTGTTTAATGACTCTCATTAATTTTTATTAATTAATAAACCTGGATTGAAACATTAACGAATACCATATTTAAAAAAATGAACTATTAATTTCATCCTCAATGAAATGAAAAAAGAAATCTCTTTAATTCCAAGAGATAAATAATGTAATACCATTGCTGGAAGAAAAAATAATTTCCAAGCTAAATTTCTTTAATTGGCCAAGTAAATCACATCGCAAGATGCATTCAGTCATTTTCCAATAATTCTAACCGAAGGAAAAAAAAAAAAGAGATATATAATGACAGCACAGTAATAATACACCAGCAAAATACATAAAGAATATCAATAAAAGGTAGAATAATATTGTAAAACATTTTCAAGTGAATTCCCAGGACTGTTAGAGATTTCTCTTATTCTCGGTGTAGCTCAAGACTAAAGTTCACTGGGTTAAGGATAGGTCTTGATGGTGTGTGTGTCAAGAGAAGTGATGATGTGCATTGCGAATATGAGGTAAATGCTAATAATCACGTGACCGGTTGTACGAGGTTGCCTTGGGATATGGACTACTTGGGGCTGGTTAGCAAGGTGCTTGATATACACCTTGAATGCGTGTCTTATGGTGTTATGATGTGTGTTGTATGTTGCTCAGGGTCTGTATATAAATATCAGTTGCTTGGCGCATGCTTGCCACATGGCGTATTTACGAACATGCTCTTAAACATATTAGCTATATATTACCTATGCAATATCCCTATTCATAAATAAAATATATTAACATTTAATTCAATACAAATATAATATTGACAATATCCTATACTTGTTATATTTTACCAGTCCTATGAAGCATTTTAGAAAATATTTTTACGAATATAAATGTATGTTTACTTTAAATCAATATATGTTGGTGCTGTATTCGGATACTTATAATATAATTCAATAAGAAAAGTGCACTCACCAATCGGTGTGAAGGAGGAGTCAGCGTTCACCGGATGTCGCCGGAAACCATCGAAACTTGAGGGGCCAGGAACAACCCACAATTTCCTGTAAGAAAGCAGATAAATTTTTTTAGTTGAGATGTTCAATATATATGACACGCATTATAGCCATTGAATACGTAATCTGTCTATAATACGAGCTAAAGCGTCCGGAACAAACATATAAATCTATATTCGAGCTATGGATAAGTCTGAAAAAATCTCATCTTTCAAATATTATGGCTTTACAAAAGGGGAATGTGCCTATGACAATAGGATAACATTTTTTTGTGTTTAATAGAGCTTGGATGAGTTTTATTTGACCAAAATTGACCGTATTTGTCAAGCTATTAATAACAATAAAAATAATTTATTGGAAAATAATACATTTAATGAAATTGAAGAAAAAAATTATTTCGTTAGCTTTTTTTGATTGATTATTTTCAGCAAATATTCATCAGTTTATTGGAGTTGATATTTTTGGAGTAAATATACTGGGTTAATGATTGTTCAATAGAAGGATGTCAAGTGACTGTGTTTAATGATATTGAAGAAAAATATAGCTGGTGTGAAAAGCTGTTGGTTTATTTTAAAGAGGTGTTGAATGTTTTATGCTAAAAGGTATTTCCCTAAAGACACAATTTTTAGATGGTTTTAACATTTTTTTTTTTTTAGGATCACATTATTTTTGAAGACGAATTATCACTTATCTGGTCACAATATTTTAGTTTGTAATAGAAATATATGATACAATATTTCAAGAAAAATTTAAAATAAAATAAAATTAAATTATTTAACCATTTACACCTCTAGACTTCAATGAAAGATAATTTCTTGTTAATTATTTAATTTCAATTCAAGCTGGAATAAATGATGAAAATCCAAACTATTTTTATGATTGAAAATCTATAATTAATTTAAATTAAACTCAATCTCTTGATTACGAAATAATTAAAATTGATGTAAATTTATTAATTTCTCTTTTTTGAATTAACCAAAAATATTTAAAAAAAAAAAAAATTCACCAGATCTTTTAGAAGAATATCACCATACACAATTGAATTGATTCTTCCTATTTTCTTTTCTGTATTTTCCATTAGAAAACGAGCTCGTGAATAAATATAGAAAATTGAAAATATTCAACTCTTTGCGCTATCATAGTCCAAATATTCTTCAAACAGAACTTTTGTACTCGTATGTGAAAAATCGATAGAGCAAATATATATCTGATTCAACGAGAAATCCATACATTTTTCGATATTCTTCTGAATACATGTAGTTTATGTAGACCCCACATATTTTTACATTTATTGCGATATGTCAATGAAAAACAACGCTAGTACAATACAAAGTGTATACGGTTGTATCTATGAGGCTGTAACCAATGTATAGCTTCTCTGAATTTGAGTTTGGTCATCGTCAAACATTGAAAATGTCAACTGCTTGAATACAGTGAATGAAAAAGGCTAACAATCAAGAGGATTTATTTTATTAAAATTTTAAAATAATCCAATTGGAATTCTTTTGTTTAAATAAAAAATAAATTAAAGACAGAATTGATATATACAGTTATTTTTTTTTTTTTGGCTAATAAACACATTTAATCACAAGAATCGATGGAAAGTGATTGTTAAATATTTTTGATGAGATAATGAATAATCATTTGCATTCAAATAGCCTTTTATTGAAAATAAAATGGAATTTTTCTCCTTTATCTAGTGATAAAAATTAAAAATAACAGCAGAGACTGCAAATTATATATAAAAAAATTATACAGGAAACGTACATCGAAATGAAAGAGAGAGTTTCCGTTATATTACTTCATATAGCTGTTGAAATTGTCCTGCTGACGCGTGCGATATAGCTTGTGGGCGGTCGAGTCGGTCTTCTTTTGCTTCAAAAAGGCGAGAAATGTTTCGGCAGATCAAAAAAATAAAAAATCAGAGTGTGCTCAGATGTGTTAAAGAGAAAGAAAGAAAGAAAGAAAGAAAAGAAGAAAAATGAAAATAAACAAGAGGAAACATGAAATGTACGTGCTTCTGAATTTTTCCAGAAGACAATTTTTACGGTTATTGCATATGCCGACGGGAGGATAAGTGGCGTTGATTTTACGACGATATATATGCCGAGTTGAGTACCAATTCTCATGTTTTATTTATCAAGTTCCTCGCTTTGATACGCCGAAACAGGTGAGATGTCGATGAAAAAATTCTTTTTATTTTTATTACCTTGTCAAATTACACATTTGTACAGATATTTATATTAATAATCAAATTAATTGGTACCACTGAACTCTTCAAGTGGTTGAATGCGACGAAATGTATAATAACTAGCTTTTAAATGAAAGTAAAAATTATTTTTTCAAAAATAAAAATACTTCTCAAGTGAAAGCAAATAAATTGATGTCATAATCGAGTATTCCTCATAACTGATTGCAAAGCAAATATTTTTTACAACATTAATATTCATTTTTGCAGATTTATTTATGGTAATAATAATTGGATTTGACCCAGGAAGTGAAGGTCTGCTTTAAACATTTTATAATTAAAGGTCGATAAAAATAATTTAAAATAGAAACAGATTGACATGTGAAGCCCTAGAGGTTAATTAATTTTATTGTAAATAAATAATCCACCAAAACAAAATCTAATAATTACTTGTAATGAAGTAATTACCGTTACACAACAAAAAATAACTAGTTAATTATTATTTACGTTTTGGATAATTCAACAAATCAACTATTATCATTAAGCCACAAGTAATGAACACAAAATTACAACCTAAAATATTTGTTATTACAAATTGTATTTCATGAAATACATTCCATAAGTGACCACCATCATGCCATAACCAATTTACTATTTTTTCCAACCATAAATCAACTAATTAGAAAATATTAATTAAACGCTAATGAATGTAAAACATCCAAGATAATAAAGCAAATAAAAAAGACCTTCCACAACTCTGCCATTCAACTTTTTACGATTGAAAAAAAAAAACAAACAAACAGTTGCTAATTCTTGAGTTTTTGTGCAAAATTATTCTCCTAAAGACTTCCTAGTCAAGCAGTCTGTCATGTCTAAATCAATTGAAAATTATTTCCAAGTGCATATTAATAATAGGAAAAAAAAATAATTGGACGTTAGTTAATGGATAAAGTCTTGGACAATTAAAGAATAAAGGTTTTTCATAATGAAGGTAAAGTTTTTTGCTAAAAGCTGTTGGAGATGATCATTGATCATGTATTCCTTATGGTATATAAGTTAATATGTTTGCACGAGCATGAAATTACGTTAGTTCAAACATTTCCGGCATATTATGGGCCTATGATGCACAGAAATGAAACATAAACGTTAGTAGGGGAATATATGCCGGTTATACAGCAAATAAATCTCAAAGTTATCGTGGTAAATGCAATTATAATAAAGCATTCTACAGTTTTCTTGGACTTTAGCGGGGAATGAGGGAGGGTAAGGAGAAGAAATGCACCAAAGCGGTTAAGAGTAAAGTCAAAAGTTTTACTGGTGTATGCCGGACGCAGATGGTACATCGACGATAGTCTCGCGGCTCCGAACGCGGCAAAGTATTACAAGATACGCTTTACAGTTGATACATGGCCGATAGTCCCGCAGCATTGGTCTCGCAAAAGTACCGTGAGGTTACGTCGACCCTTACAATCTTTACTCTTCACCCTCTCTTCTGGCTGACTAAACTTTTCCTATTCGATACGAAATATCACGACCAACAATACACACTTCTTCATTCGAACGTCACTTATATTTCTTTATGCTCCTCGAAAAACTTTTTTATCAAACTTTCCTACTAAAACTGCTGCACCTTCATAACAACTTAGTCTTAACTTTTATTATTTCATTTATGCTCTTACGCTGATAAAAATTATATTTACTTTGTATTTATTTTTTTTTTCTCAACGCTCCTTTTTTTCTTCATTTTTATTGAGACTTGCAACAGTAACATACTGCTCGTAAAAATGTTATTTTGAAGAATTTATCTTGTTTATTTTCGATAGAATTTTCAGAAATTTATTGACCGTTACTAGAAAATATCATTTCGATAGTAAATTTTTACTTAAAGTGATTAGATTTCAATTGAATGTTGATCTCAAAATGAGTATTTTTTTTATTAATTGTAAAGTAGAATTAAAAAATAACATTTTTTTTTTTTAATTTTTCAGAGTGCATTTGAACATCAAGAGAAACCTGTTGGTATCATTATCCATTGATTTTTTTTAAAAGAATTGGTCAATTTTACACCAAATACCCTTGTTTTTTTCCAGCCATAAAAATTTTACATTTTCAGATAAACTTATATTTCCGGTTAAATAATTATTATGCATCAAGCATTACAGAAATGCATGCAAAAAATCAACTGAAATAAAAACAGAAATAAAATTGTAATCAATTGAGCTCGAGCATGAAAGCTTTTTATTAAAAACCAAACGAAAATGTAGGTTGTATTGCAGAAGAGTAATATGAAAAAAATCGAATTGTAATTGTTAATAACTAAATAACATAAGAGGCTAAATAGAAAAAAATGACGAGTGCCAAACTAGAAGTTAAAATTAAAAGTTTTAGCAAAAGTTGAATTTTACGACGGTTGCGTGACTGAAATATTACCAAGTAGTAGCTATACATACTTCTGGGTTGGTAAGTTGGAAACTCATTTCCGAACACTCGTAAACCGTGCCTTGCGTATGAATAAAAATAATAAAAATATAAAAATAAGAGAAATTCGAATTTTCCACTTACAAAATTACTCTGTTGCCTCTCCTCTGAAATCTTCATTACTTTATAACCCCTTTACTGTTCTTCCTGAGTCAGCTCAAAAAAAAATACCATAATCCGGGTGAATTTTCTAAAATTCAGTAACTCGTACGTACAAAAAAATGGATAGAGAATGAACTGGAGATAAAAAAAATGGAGAACAAGACACATATATGGATGACGAGGATGGCAAAGAGAGAGAAAGAGAAAGAATGAGTAGTGCAGCTGCAGGGAAATTATTGTCAGAGTGTGAGGAGGAGCGAAAGAAGGCATAAAAGATGAA